AAATATCTACTTCTTCCTTCTGTCGAAGTGCAAGCTTTAAGTCGATATAGAGTATGTACAATTTTACAGAAATTTTCTGTCAAATCTTGATATCAACGTCCCCAAATCTGTCATTTAACAATGTCGTAATAAAGAATTCTAGACACGAAAATTAATGGCAAACGATTGTTGCAGGAAAAATGATGGCAGCACTGGGTTTCGGAGCGCTGGGTCTGCTAGCTATGAAGGCGTTGATGGTATCCGCGTTGGCGTTGATGCTGTCGTTGATCGTGGCCGTGAAGAAGCTGGCGAGCGGCCATGACAGCGGCGGAGGCCATCACGTGGTGTACGCGCAGGACGTGGGTCATCACCACTACCGCAAGAAGCGATCTCTCGGGGAGGAGGATCTCCCGTACAGAGGATACGCGCACCTGTTCGGCGATTCACGAGTGTTCTGATGCGATCGATCCTCATCGACGATCATGCGCGGGCATCGACAGTGACGACATTGACGCACAAGTGACGAAAGTGACGCAAAAATTACTCGCGCGCGAGAACGACGAGACGGACGATAGACGGGACTGACGCTGAGGAAACCAAAGTACACGTACAACCATGTTATTTATTACATCTACCATACTCACCTCTCTTTTGTACCATTTATTTATTGTTGCGCAATCGAATAAAAGCATATCAGCGATCGAAAGAGTCGAAGTCATTTATCGGATGGACCCGGATGGTAGGAAAAGTGTGTCGCAGCGTGCGTTGCATATTTAGGTGTTCGCGATTTCCCCGTATCTTTTCCTAATCGAACGGATTAACAAGCATAAAGACGAGAAACCGCTCTTGCCTCGGTGATCCGGATGTCGGCGATGGTGGGACGGTTGTGGGTAAGCGTGTCTCGCAAGTAGCACGATGAATTGTGTAACAAATCGTGCTAAGTGAAACGTCGGGAACCGTGCATCCAGTGGAGTGATATTCACGATTCTGTATCGTGCAATTTAACGATTAAGGACAATTAGCAGATTAGATCTTCCAGAAAAATTATTCGATGGTAATTGAATTAACGACCCATGCTTTTAGTTTTTTCAATGGGACAGGGTCTATGCACTTCCCCACATGTCGCTCTTTTCCCCCACCCGATTTTGCCTCGAACTAGGCCCGCTCTCTTCATCGATCTGGAGGGAGGAAAATCGACGGGGGCCGAGACCCACTGGCACACATTCCGGACGCTTCCTTTTTTGCCTTTGAAATATCATAAAACGGGGAGAGGCTTGAAATCGGCTCAGAGCGCGCCGCGACTTCTGCGCACGCGCATCGAATCCACTTCGCACGGATGAACTTACGATTCGACAAGTGCATGATTCTTTACAGCATTTTTATTTCGACAAACATGTCGATCAATTTACCGAATTAATGTGAGACTTTAAACAAGAAATTGTGCACAAATTTTGCTTATATAATTGAACATTTTTTGGCGCTAATTTCAAATGATTTGTCCTAAGTTTCAACAAGTGCATGATTTTTTATAGTCTTCTTACCACAACGAATGTGTCGATTAATTTACTGAATTAATACGAGACTTTAAACAAGAAATTGTGCACATATTTTGGTTGTATGGTTGAGCGCCTTTTGGCGCCAATTTTAAATGATTTATTCTAAGTTTCAATTTATTAAATTGACTTTATAGAAAAATTGTACGAAATGTGAAAACTTGATAACTTTTTCATTTTTGAATTGACATATTTGTTACAATTTACGATTATTGAGGATTTTTTTTTATTATAGACTTTTTAAATTGGAGAAGCTGAAAGCTTTCGGTTCGATATAATCGACACAATGACACTTTCACTTTCTTTCTCCGTAACAGAGGATTAAATTTACGTACTCACGTCGTGTTGATCATAACAATAAATTGCAACGAAACGGATATCCTTTAAATAGAGTTCTTTGACCCAGTTTTCTCGTATCCTCTTTAACTTGTTAATTCTCCGATCAGGAGAAAGTCATTTCCCTACATGTGTCACAAATAAACAAATCTCACATGTGTTCTTAAAGTATAATTAAATTCTATAAAATCATGTAAATTAAATGACTCACAGTCAGATGAAAATTTTGAAAAAACAAAATATGTATATAAATGTCAGTATTCCTAAAAAAAATTAAAAAAGTATGTGTTAAATGCAATTGAACTCCAAATCATAGTAATCTCTCCTACAAAATGACTCACTAATAACATGAAAGTCATGATTTGAAAAAACTAAATGTGCATATATATGTCAGTACCTCTCAAAAAAGTTAATAGATTCGTAAATAAATGCGGCAGAAAATCATAGTAATTTATCTCCTCCGCGAAATGACTCACTAACAGGATGAAACACGAAGAAAGCAGTCCAACAAGATCATTAGCACGAAATTCACTCGGTCGATTCAAAATGACCTACTTAAAAGAAAGTAACTCAAAAGCAAAACCGCTTTGTATAGACACCTACAGCTTTCGTTTTCTTTTCTTAACACTTGACAGTGGCTGTCATCGATTCGTTTATCAAAACCGATGCTCTGCTTTCGTTTTCTTCCGCCTCGGAGACAACGAGCGCGATTAAACTTTTATAGCGCCGTAAAGTCGACCGCGACTCTGACGTCACTGAGGAAAAACGAAAGTTAGAACGATTTCGTGAATGGACCGGCGAAATCTGTTCTGCTTCCGGTTTCATTGAGAAAGCTTTCGGTTCAGTTTCTTAATTTTCAAGTTTCACGAAAATTGGTTGCGATGGTCGCAGAAGAGGTAATTCGGTACGTGGTAATTCGATACGTGGTAATTCGATACGTGGTAATTCGGCGCGTGGTAATTTGACGCGTGGTAATTCGACGCGTCGGCGCATAGTAATTCGATACGTGGTAGTTCGGCGCATAGTAATTCGATACGTGGTAGTTCGGCGCATAGTAATTCGATACGTGGTAGTTCGGCGCATAGTAATTCGATACGTGGTAGTTCGGCGCATAGTAATTCGATACGTGGTAGTTCGGCGCATAGTAATTCGATACGTGGTAGTTCGGCGCATAGTAATTCGATACGTGGTAGTTCGGCGCGTGGTAATTCGACGCGTGGTAATTCGATTCGTGGTAGTTCGGCGCGTAGTAATTCGATATGTGGTAATTCGACGCGTGGTAGTTCGACGCGTGGAAGGCTGTTTATGCATCTGAGCGCTTTGGAGATTCAAATTTCCCGCGCAGAAGGTTTTATAGGTTAGTTCAAGGTACCGCCATTTTCAGTTACACCAATTTCTTCCTTTCATTTTGTTAAACCCAACAAGATTCAAGAATCTTAATAATAATGTTATCAGTTAAATTCAATTCCAGTACAAATTTCTAGTAAATTGAGAAAAAAAGAAATCTTAATTTTTATATAAATTGAAAAGTATCAGAAGGATTCGTAAGGAGATTTTCAAAGTTAGAAATCGAGTACAAAAGGATGTTAGTAGAGCAAGTATCGAGTGTCAAGGTGTAGCCACTTTCAGTTTTACCGGTAATTCTGGGTTGTGGAGGCTGCACGCGATAGATCGCCTCTATTTAACATGCAACCGCGGATGAAGCATGCGGTTCGTGCGTGGAAGAACGGTGTCAACGCAAAATGTATTGCAGAGCGTTTCATGAATGACTGATGTGACCCAAAAACTTTTTTCTTCCTCGAACTTCGTGCTATTCGATCGAGATGAGTTATGCTACTCTAACTCTGGCTACCAAAATGGCGGCCCGTGTCATGACAAAACATTGTACTTCATGTTTCAAGTTTTCTTTAGATACTGTTTAATTTGTTACACTCTTTGTTTTTATATATTACATCCACAAGATATATATCTATAAAATTAGTATATAATTTTTAACGTACGTAATAATTATTTTTAAAGTGACCAGTCATTTTATCGACTGCCATTATAAATTATTGTTATGTATTATTATATGAAATTATTAATGACTACTAATTTTGTCATAATAATGTAAAATATTGATTTTAAAATGTGCGAAATTTTAGAAATGCACAAATGAACGAGATAACCTTACTCTATGACGCGCAGGCGCAACAAAATGGCGCCAAAAGCCCTATCCCTATATTGATCTGACGTTTTCATTTTTGGCAACTTTCAGACAATTTTTGTGAATTCCTTTCACGAAATGCACGATGTTTTGCGAAACGAAATCCCGAAAAACGAGGCCCAGGTGTCGGCGAACGACGCTACAGGGGACATTAACATTTTTCTTTTTCTCTTTACGCTTAGCATACGACCGGTTGAGTTTCACTTAGGACGGAGAAACGTCCGATGACACTGGTCCGCTAATAGCGGACTATCTTAACCCAGAATAGGCTGACACGCGTACACGCAAGATTTCTTGCGAATTCCCTGTGATTTGCTCGTGGGTCTAACGATGGCCGAGAAATCGTTAGTAAGTCGGTCAATCCTGGCTATGTTTGCGAAACAGGCGAAATAAATGAGAGGGTACAAGTTAGGTATATGCTAATTAATACTAGGGACATGCTAATATAAGGTATACCTTTGAGATCGATTTTATTGACGAACCATGTTTATTCATACGTTAATTCGATACGTGGTAGTTCGGCGCGTGGTAATTCGATACGTGGTAACTCCACGCGTGGTAATTCGGCGCATTGTAGTTCGGCGCGTGGTAATTCGACGCGTGGTAATTCGATACGTGGTAGTTCGACGCGTGGTAATTCGATGCGTGGTAATTCGACGCGTGGTAGTTCGACGCGTGGTAGTTCGGCGCGTGGTAATTCGATGCGTGGTAATTCGACGCGTGGTAATTCTACGCGTGGTAATTCGATGCGTGGTGACTCCACGCGTGGTAATTCGATACGCGGTACTTCAGCGCATAGTAATTCGATGCGTGGTGACTCCACGCGTGGTAATTCGGCGCATTGTAATTCGATGCGTGGAGACTCCACGCGTGGTAATTCGATACGTGGTAGTTCGGCGTGTGGTAATTAGACGCGTGGTAATTCGATACGTGGTAATTCGACGCGTGGTAGTTCGACGCGTGGTAATTCGACGCGTGGTGAGTAATTCGATACGTGGTAGTTCGGCGCAGGGTAATTCGACGCGTGGTTCGACACAAATTTTATAGATTATGCTCATTCTTCATTCTCTCCTTCGTTCCATCAACTTCACTTTGTTTATGGCTCATTTTATATCACCGATCCGTGAAAGAACCGAATCGGGTCAAAGAAGACCACGTTTCTTCGAACACGGAAGAAATGTACCTCGATCACGAAAATCGTCAATTTGTCCTGGGAATTTCAAACATTTCCATTTCGCTCGTAAATCATTGGCCGAGTCACGGACTCCGATATCGGTCTTCGACATAGAAAGCTTCAGTTCAACGTTTTGATCATCTAACGTCAGTCAACAACCCGCTGCGCCAGGAATTTCTTACAGAAAAGACGGCTTCCGCTTGACCCGAAAAATCGGATTTGAAATTTAAATTTCCGCTGGTAATAACCGTGGAATGTAACGGGCTTATGATCATAATCGTTACTGTGCCAAAAACTTTGTATTAATGGATCGGGTCACATTCGATCGTCGGATCTAAGATTAGAAATAAACAAAAAGAAACTTCTTTGAAACAAAAAGAAAAATGGAGAAGTGAGTTCACGGTGAAAGTTTACATAATATATTTAACGATCGATATCTCCCAGTTTCGCGATTCTCTAACGGGCAGCCTGGTTTCTGTGTTTCGATGGTTGTTTCTAAGCATCGGTGATTTTACCGTGTCTGGGGCGTGTCCGTGGCTTCTGCCGTTCCTTTCTGTTGCACGCGGCGAAGGAGAAACCGTGGTTTTACTTTTTAACGGCTTCGCCACGAAGGATCGACTCGAAAGGATCCCGGAGATGGCGGTCGGTAGATGACCGAGAAAGGATGAATGAACAGTGACGTAAGATCGCGCGAATTTCCTTTTCATCCGGTCCCTTCAAGCGCGGCGAAAGCTTGATTAGCACGATTGCCGCCGGTTCTCACGAACTTTTCCCCGACCAGATTATGTCAACTCGGTTAACCGAGACTCCCTGCAAACTATTTCTTACCCCTTTCTACTCTTTCGTTCTATAAGTTTTTCCGATACTGTTACTGATGCAGTTAGTTACTGATAACTTGAGGGAATAAATGGTGCTATACAGAGGGGACATATGAGGGAATATAGCTAGTATTATTTAGAAGCAAACCTCATGTAAAGAGGAAACCTCACTAGTTGTGAGTCACCCTGTACTGTCATGAACAGTACTATTACATACTTCTGTAGTGTTACATGGTGTACTACTACACATGCCGTACTTATATACAGTCAGTACAAGTACTACATCCTCAAATTTGTAGATCTCTACCTAGACTACCTAAGCTACCTAACCTACCTAGACACCTTAGTGCATGAGTCATTCCTAGCGTAACCCAGCATATGTGGACCACCCATGAATTAACCCATGTCACCTATGAATTAATACATGGTACCACAATGCCTTGTAGCACAACAGGTGGTATTTCAACGCCTGACAAAGCACCTAAACAACCAAATAAATCTAGTTCAAAGAAACTAGAAACGTCCAAACGCAACGAAATCGGTCGATTTCCCAGATTCGGAGGACGTCCCCGGAATTTCGATGGTCACCTACGTCAAGTATTTCGCAACTCGAAATTCCACGGACGCTTTGTAATCGCTTCAGGTCGGAAGTAACGAAAACGACAAGAGGCGTGTGCGTTATCGTGCCGGCCGTGAGAGCCGCGCTGGGGTCAAAGTAGAAAGTGGTGTCCGCGTGTTCGATGAAGGTCGGATCCGGGATGTTTGAACCTGATCTATACCAGTTTTCTTTCATTCATGACATCCGTCGGAGAGAGTAGCTTCCTAAAAATTAAAATCCTAAAGATTCGCTCGAATGAACTCTACCGTTGTTTCCTACTTTTCTCGGCTCTTATCTCGAACGTTTAGTGCTGTTAGCCGCCTAATGATTTACCGCTCTACGCTTCAGCGATCGCTAATTGGATCTTCGTTAATTACCGACTTCATAAACTTTCTTGGAGAAAGAACTTTTCGAATTATGTTCAGGTGTTTACAAAACAAACTTACGCAGGAGGAAAGTTACATGCGCTGGAATAAGTCAGCCATGAATTAGGTTAGGTCAGAAGTGACTTGTCTTATCTAAGCTACCTTTCGACGCTGTCTATACGACTTTGTAATTATATCTATTTTACTAGTTCTTTTATGTAATACAATTTTCGTTGTTACATCTTGAAAGTTGTCATTGAAGTTCCATGTGGATACATCTTGTGCCACACGTGTGGTAAACGTGTGAAACTCGTATACCAAGTGTCACGTTCGGTGTCAGTTTATTTCTTTTCGCATCTACTAATAGAAAATGTTAAAATGTTAAATTAAGGGTTGGACTACCACGCGTCGAACTACCACGCGTCGAATTATCACGTATCGAATTACCACGCGTCGAATTACCACGCGCCGAACTAACACGTATCGAATTACTACGCGCCGAACTACCACGTATCGAATTACCACGCGTCGAACTACCACGCGTCTAATTATCACGTATCGAATTACCACGCGTCGAATTACCACGCGTCTAATTACCACGCGTCCACGCGTCGAATTACCACGCGTCGAATTACCACGCGTCGAATTACCACGCGTCGAATTACCACGCGTCGAATTACCACGCGTCGAATTACCACGCGTCGAATTACCACGCGTCGAATTACCACGCGTCGAATTACCACGCGTCGAATTACCACGCGTCGAATTACCACGCGTCGAATTACCACGCGTCGAATTACCACGCGTCGAATTACCACGCGTCGAATTACCACGCGTCGAATTACCACGCGTCGAATTACCACGCGTCGAATTACCACGCGTCGAATTACCACGCGTCGAATTACCACGCGTCGAATTACCACGCGTCGAATTACCACGCGTCGAATTACCACGCGTCGAATTACCACGCGTCGAATTACCACGCGTCGAATTACCACGCGTCGAATTACCACGCGTCGAATTACCACGCGTCGAATTACCACGCGTCGAATTACCACGCGTCGAATTACCACGCGTCGAATTACCACGCGCCGAAATACCACGTATCAAATTACCACGCGTCGAATTACCACGCGTCGAATTACTACGCGTCGAATTACCACGCGCCGAAATACCACGTATCGAATTACTACGCGCCGAATTACCACGTATCGAATTACCACGCTTCGAATTTATCACGCGCCGAATTTACCACGCGTCGAATCCACCAAGCGTCGAATCCACCACGCGTCGAATTATCACGTATCGAATTACTATACGCCGAACTACCACGTATCGAACTACCACGCGTTTCACCACGCGTCAAATCCACCACGCGTCGAATCCACCACGCGCCGAAATACCACGTATCGAATTACCACGCTTCGAATTTATCACGCGCCGAATTTACCACGCGTCGAATCCACCAAGCGTCGAATCCACCACGCGTCGAATTATCACGTATCGAATTACTATACGCCGAACTACCACGTATCGAACTACCACGCGTCGAACTATTACATTATTAAGTATATTCATGACAGTATAGGGTGACTCACAACTAGTGTCCATGAAAGGGTTTGTATCTGTCATGGCTCTGACTTTCCTCTTTACATGAGGTTTGCTTCAACTTTCCTTGTTAGTCTAACATTACAACAATAACACCTGCCGAAGCATTGCAGCGATAATTAGTCTGTCTGACGCACCTGCTGAAAGAATCATATTTCAAGGGGTCATGAAAGTCTAAATTCGAACAATTCATTGTCTCCTGTTTGAGATTCTATCCAGAACACCTGTTGCTCCAATTCAGGTCATCTTCTTTTGAGGTCCCTAAACCCTTTAGATCTAAACGCTGTATATGTTAGGTTGAATATTGCGTTCCCAGTGTGGAGAAATAGAAAAGGAAGAAGGTTATGTCGGCCAGCGTCGTCCGAGCGTCGTGGGTCGCAGGTCGAGGGGCCCGATGGGCGTCGATGAGCACCTGAGAGAACCTATCCGCTTCCGTCGCTTTCGTCAACGACGTCGTGACGACACACACGCTCGTGCACGGCAAATAGAAAGAAAAAAAATCAAAAGGCGGCAAGAGGTGGGGCAGTGACGCGGGCCGGCGTAGAGGAGGGGCCCGCCAAATATAAGCTTAAGAGATCGTACGATGGACCACACGAAATTTCACTACGGACGGGACTGGTTTCGGAAAACGCCGGTCATCCACTATCTCCAGCATCGTTCGAACGTCTTTTTTTCACACCGGTTCACACGGTATCATGAAGTTGCTCGCGGTCGTGTTCCTGGCGGCGGTCGTCGCCGTCAACGGTCAAACGCTAGAGGATTGCCTGCAAAGCGACAGCATATCCTGCGTGCAGAAGAGCCTGTACAGGAAGGCGAAGGAGTTCTTTGACAAGGACAACCTGGAACTGTTCAGTGGTGTTAGTCTGGTGAAGGACAGTCAGGGCCGAAGCTCCAGAACTGGCAAGGATTTGGTTTACGATCAGGAGATCAATGCTGCGAATAACGTTGCTGACAGACAGAGCGCTCTGGAGAATTTCGTGAGCGACGAAGCCGGTGAATTCCTTAGTGGACGTAGTCTCAGGGTAATTGAACTTCTTGGAGATTGATCAGGCTCGTTATTTGTGTTATTTATTATTCATTATTTGTGTACGATAGATCAATCTGGCTCCCACTTTCGAGAGGATCGGACAGTCGGCGAGAGCCATCAGCGATTCTGCGCCGGAAGAGGTGCGCCAGGCAGTCAATGAAGTCGTTGAAGGTAAAGTTTGCTAATTAACGGTACAAGTATCTGGCAAGAACATACGAACCTAATTATCAAAACTCTTGTAACTTGAAAATAGCGTAACCATACAGGACGGTATAAATATCTGATAATTGGAGAAACGCTTTGAAATTAATTCTGAGAACGTCATTGCGATGCTTTAGAAATTTCATCCACACAGGCGTAACGCATCTTACATTCTGCTGTGAAAACAGACGTATGTAGTACGGCGCGTGATTACAATTATCGAAAATATTTTATTTTACAGTTTTTAGTTGTTAAATTATTTGAGCATTTGTAGCTAATTGCAGATGTCACATTTGACTTTCATGGTATCTATCATTATATAATGTTTTAAAGATGGGAGGATTAAAATTATTCTGTTGGGGAACAGTCAGATATTCAAGATTCAATTGTGAACGCAATAATATTTTAGGTTAGGAAGCGCCCTCTGTTTCGCCACTCTACTCAATTAAATTTAATCCCAAATTGTTCAAACCATTTTCAAATTTTAATTCCACACTAAAAATTCATGTTTCCAGTAAATATTCATCTTTCCACATTCCACCCCCAAAAATTGACCTTCCCCTATCTTCCTCCGAATCATAACATTCAGAACAATCTTTAATTGCAGGCCGAGGAAAGAAAAAGATCCTAAAATCGATCCTGCCTCTCCTAATCGCCGCGAAAGTGAAGATCGGAGCCCTGGCAACCCTCGCGTACTTCGCGATCGGCCTCCTAGCGAAGAAAGCGATCATCGCCTCCCTGATTTCTCTGGCGATTTCCGCGTTCATCGGGCTGAAAGCTTTGTGGTCGAAGCACAATTACCACGAGGTGACTCCGTACAACGGTGGATGGAACGGAGCTCCAGCTAGCGGGGGTTGGTCCGGGCCTGTCGGTGGCGGTGGTTGGTCCTCCGGCTCCTCGTGGGACGACGGTCACGGCTACGCGCAGAGTCAAGCGTACTCCGGCTACCATCATTAACCCCCTTAGTTATTCTTCATCTTCATTCTCTCGTCTTCCTCTCACCGATGTATTTATTGTTTATTTATCCTGTGTTTAATAGTAAGCGGACCGACCGGTCCCCGTGTAAATATATAATTAATCGTTACGCGTGTGGAAACGCAGAGGCTAGCCTCGAGTCGGCTACATTTACACCAGATTATTTACCACGAAGCTGAACATCTAGTCCAGTACGATTTAGATGAACTCTGTTCCGAAGTGCTCTTACCTGAATCATTTTTATTTTGTATCAACGAAATACAATTTTTAGAAAAATAACGAGATCGTTTTCTTGCCCGAAATCCTGTACACGAAAAGAGAAATCACGCCGACTTTCCAACCTTCCGAGAACCACCGAAACGGCCGGTTTTTTTTTTTCTCCTCGCCGGCGAAATTTCAACGGCCTCGAAAGCCGAGCTCGGCGCGAAATCGAGCCGGGACGAGATGGAAATGCCAGATGGCTGGTGGACTACTCGAGGGGAAAGTGCACCGGCAAGGTGCACATCCGGTCGCGCGAGACGCTCTTCCTGAAGACGCGGAGGTCGCGTTCGTCATTCTTAATCGGGTCGAGGGGACGGACATTCTAGTAAATCTTTCGACCGGTGTCCTTAAGTCCCAGATTGCGGGAAAATGAGCGACGCGAAAGGAGGTTGACGCGGAATTGCAGTTTCTTCCGGAGCGACTCGCTTCGGGGCCGATAGTAAAAATTCTTTTTGTGAGGATAATAGTTCGTTTCTGGGACGGTGGGTCGAGGCGTGAATGCGAAATAGATGGGACTGTTCTGATGGAAATGTACTGGTCTTTGGGAGATCTGGGGATTTATGGGGAAATTGGGAATTTGAGTGCGGATGATTTGGGGATTCAAGGTTGGGATTGTGAGATTTGGGGATTTGGGGATTTGGGGATTTGGGGATTTGGGGATTTTGGGGTTTTGGAATTTTGGAATTTTGGAATTTTGGGATTTGGGGATTTAGGGAATTGGGGATTTGTAGATTTGTAGATTTGGGGATTTTGGGATTAGGGGATTTGGAGATTTAGATGTTTTGGGATTTGGGAATTTTGGGATTTAGGAATTTTGGGATTTGAGAGTTTTGGGACTTGAGAATTTTGGGATTTGGGAATTTTGAGATTTGGGAATTTCAGGACTTGAGAACTTTGATATTTGGTAATTTTAGGATTTGGGATTTGGGAATTTGGAAGTTAGGAATTTGGGAATTTTTGTATTCAGGAAATTTGGAATTTTAGGAATTTGTGTAACAGATATTGGGAATTTAGGGATTTGGGAATTTAGGGATTCGGGAATTTGGGGATTTAGGGATTTATGAATTTGGGAATTTAGGGATTCGGGGATTTGGGGATTTGGGGATTTAGGGATTTGGGGATTTGGGGATTTGGGGACTTATGGATTTGGGGATTTTTTTGGCGATTTAGGAATTTGGAGAATTAAGGATTTAAGGAATTAGGGATTGGAAAATTTAGGGATTTGGGAATTTAAGGTTGGAATGTTGAAATTTAGGGATTTGGTGATTCAAGGTTGGGATTTGGAAACTTAGGAATTTGGGGAATATAGGGATTTGGAGATTTGAGTATTGGAAAGTGAGAATTGAGGAATTTAGGAATTTCGATATTTGAGTACTTGAAGGCTTGAAATTTAAAATTAAAAATTTTTTAATGTATGTATTTGCACATTTTACTATCCACAAATAAAGAATTCAATAATACAGAAATCAAGAGAATTTGTCAAACTTAATATTCTTATTATTTCATTATTTATTTTATTTTTTGCAAGGTTAAAAATTTAGAGATCTAAAATTGAAGAATCAATAATTAAAAAAGTTAAGAACTTGTCCCTTACAAATTTTCAAACATGATTATTTTAACAATGATACCTTAAAAACCTTTAACAGTTAAAAGACATAAAAATAAAATAATAATTTGTACTACTTTAAAAAATTTGAAAATCGACCACATTCCACGTGATAATTACAAGAACTAAGAATCACATAGATAATCTGAAAATGTTATGTTATAGAACGAAGGTGAAACGAATCAGTACAGCAAGAAGTCAGTGTCACGGCTCGTTAGGTCTGTCGGTACCGCGACAGGATCGCGTCCAAGGAAAAAAAAGATGCGGTATTATTTTGAAAGGAAGAGGAGACTTTCGTTAGTGGCGAAGTAACGCGGGGAGGGATGCGGTACATTAATCGTGACTGGATATTCAGACAACTTGTCTTCTCTGTGCTCTTTTATTTCACTTGATCTTTTTTGTACTATACAATATAGACACGTGGTCCATAAAACATTGAAATATTTCTATTCACAATGTCCGAATAAGAAAACCGTAGGTAAGAGAAAGTTTACCTTTGTTACTTTCATATTTTTAATCGGATGTGTGAGAGGAAATTTTCTTTTGAGTTTTTGTTAATGATTTTTATTGTATAGATGTATTAATGTGGGTGTTAAGAGATTTACAAGATATTAATGAGAGCTGTAATATTACTTGATGATAATTGATTTAATATATTAACAGCAAAATAACAAATAAGACAAAACAAATGAGACAAAATAATATTAAGAGAAATAAATATTAAGATTATTTATTGTTGTTATTTAATAGGGATGTTGGAATTTGAGTATACATATACATACTTCGAGATGTAATAAAATAAATAAATGAGCATAATCAATTATTATTATCAATAATAATAAAAAATAATATGATAATGAAATGAAGATGTAATAGAAATATAGTGACTTAAATATGCAAATATCTAGGGATGCACAGGGTGTCTCACAACTAGTGTAGGTCCTTGCAATGGGAGGTAGCTGATGAGATTCTGAATAAAATTTCCCTTTGCAAAAATGGGATGTGAAGCTTCGTTTTTGAATTATTAAGGAAAAACGCGGATCAATCAGAGCGCGAGGATCACGCATGCGCAGATGCGTGGATCACGCATGCGCAGACGCGGGAGCGCAGCTTCGAGCCTAGAGGCGGGGCGCACGTAATCCTCGCGCTCTGATTGGTCCGCGTTTTTCCTTAATAACTCAAAAACGGAGCTTCAAACCCAATTTTTGCAAAGGGAAATATTATTCAGAATCACGTCCTCCTGAGATCTACACCAGCTATAAGACACCCTGTAGAAACTTGATCATCCAGTGAGGATCTGTATCTAACTTCTGACAAATCTAAATTGCAGTGAACCTAATTTGCAATTTTGATGAATTATACTATGAAAGTTTCGACAAACCTAATAATGCAAATCTAAATATCGAAAAGTCCATAAATCCACTTGCAAATGAACCTAACCCAACTTCCTGAATCGAACCGAAATCGCAATAAATATTAAAGCAACGCAACCGCGTTCGCCGGCTCCATTTCAAGTAATCCGAAGAGTTCGAAACCAAACATTTTCGTGCGTTGACATTTACACGGGCCGTCGACCTCGTAAATCCCGTGCAACGTCTACGGGAACTCGGACAGAAAAATCGGAACGCATCGGTCCGTTAAACGGTCGTGCAACGTAAAACATCTAGCAAAAGAATATAACCGAGAAAGAAAATGTCATGAAAATTGGCGCTGCGCCCCGCGAGCCCGATGAATAGAGACTTTCTTTCGGTATTCACAAAAGCGGAATTTCACCATGGACTCTATCTCATTATTAGAGAGTCGTAAAAGCACGACTCGTATCTGAATCTCGGTACGGTTCTCACGTCACGATTAGTAGCCGGCGGTTTCTCATGCGTCACTGGGTTACTACATTCCCTTGTTTCCTAGTGTCTTATCGATACCGGGGAGCAAGCCCTTATAGAGTAATCGATTCTTTTGATTTCAGTATTTAAATTGGTCCTCTGTCTCTCTCTAGGTTTCCTTGTCTCTTATCTTTGCCCTTACGAGGGCTGTATACCAATCACAAACCTGGTCAAATCTGGTAAAAGCGACACGGATTCTTTCGAACGAGTCTGGAAATTGGAAAGTTTTGCGAAACGACGCTCGATTTTCTGTGCGTCGAAACGGGGTTAACCGCTGGGACGCGTGTTTCGGTCTATTGCTTCGGTACTTTGCACACAGGGTCGATATTACACTTTGCATTGTATACATAAATTTCCGGGGCGATTCGGTGGAATTTATGGTACTTTCTTATACTCCAAAGAAACACTGTTTCACTCAATTTATAGGTTATCTTAAATATTAACAATTATTATGTTGTGAAACCTACAAATTTTATGGGTTTTGAAGATTTATCTTCACAATGTAGTGCACATTTATAGAGCACATCACAATTCATAAATCTTTGCAACCTTGTACATTATTTATATAGAAAGCAAGTTCCTAACCTAACTGCGTCTCAGAAAATTGGCGGGAAAATACTATAACCAAAAACGTTTACGTAACTTTAACTATTTTGACTGTCTTGTAAATAGAATTTTGGTTTCATTATAAAATGAAGAGGAATTCATTTGTACTTTTAATGGTAGCTTCACATGTCCACATATTAACATTTTGTGTATGAACACCTGACAGCTTTATTTGAGTACCTAATGCTTTACTTGCACACCTAACAGCTTCATGTGTCCCTCTATCAGCAACTTCATTTTGTGTATGAGCATCTGATAGCTTTATTTAAGTACCTGATGCTTTACTTGCACACCTAACAGCTTCATGTGTCCCTCTATCAGCAAGTTCATTTTGTGTATGAGCACCTGATAGCTTTATTTGTATACCTACTAGTTATGTTTATGCACTGACAGCTTCATTTATGTACCTACTACATGTGGTTTGCACCTAACAGCTTTGAACCTAATAATATTATTTGAGCATACACCTAACAGCTTCATTTACCAGTCATGATTATGTAACAGCATTACACCTAATACTTCTACACCTAGTAACATTATTCGAACATCTAACAGCATTATCTAAACATCCATCTTTATTCTTGTATATACTATCTGGCTTATTTACTTGCACCTCTAAAAGCTGCATTAATAGCAAAAGCTGTATTAAGTAACGTGTTTCAATACATCTTTGCAATGGTATAAAGTATCTATCAATAGTATCCTGAAAAGAAAATCAAACTAAAATCCGGAAGTCAAGGATCGCGTGCATCAACGTAATTCCACGACACGCAATGCGTACCATGGTTTCGAAACAATGGCGGACCGTTACTCTTTCCCGCGGTTTCGTTCGCGTTAGTGTCTCAGATTCGTCTATCCGATTTAGCCTCCGTGAACCTCTTCCTTGTGCACGTGTACTTTCGATGACCGAGCATCTCGACTTTCAGCGACTTTCTTGATCGACCCGAAAGTGTGCTGCTACCTTGGCTATATTCGCGTTACCTCTTCACCTTTGGGTCCCCTCTTCTATATCTTACTCCATAGTGTAATCATGTCATGTACTCTATTAAGATCATTTGATACTAGATTTTAATATTTGAAATTTGGGAGGTTATTGTGGTATGAAGCAGTCACATAACCTATTTGAGCTACATATATGAGCTATTTGAAAGAAATGTGGCATCATGAGTGGTTTGTCAAATGTGGTCCATTTTGATGAATTAAACACTGTTTAGCTACATAACCTATTTGAGTAATATACGCTTTTTGAAATTTACCATGATGCAGTTCTTTGTCACATATGGTCCATATGAAGAAATTAAACATTGGTGTTTAACAACATAACCTGTGTGACCTACTTGAAATGTACCATAATATACTTCTTTGTCAAATATCGTCCATACTGAGGAATTCATTGGTGCTAAGCAACATAACCTATTTGACCAACATGAACTATGTGAAATATATCATGACGCTCTTTGTCACATATGGTCCATATGAAGAAATTAAACACTGGTGTTTAACAGCATAACCTATATGATCTACTTGAAATGTACCATAATGTACTTCTTTGTCAAGTATAGAAATACATTGGTGCTAAGCAACATAACCTATTTGACCAACATGACTTATGTGAAATATATCATAATGCTCTTTGTCACATATGGTCCATATGAAGAAATTAAACATTGGCGTTTAACAACATAACCTGTGTGACCTACTTGAAATGCACCATAATATACTTCTTTGTCAAATATGGTCCATACTGAGAAATACATTGGTGCTAAGCAACATAACCTATTTGACCAACATGAGCTATGTGAAATATATCATGATGCTCTTTGTCACATATGGTCCATATGAAGAAATTAAACATTGGTGTTTAACAGCATAACCTATATGATCTACTTGAAATGTACCATAATGTACTTCTTTGTCAAGTATAGAAATACATTGGTGCTAAGCAACATAACCTATTTGACCAACATGAACTATGTGAAATATATCATGACGCTCTTTGTCACATATGGTCCATATGAAGAAATTAAACACTGGTGTTTAACAGCATAACCTATATGATCTACTTGAAATGTACCATAATGTACTTCTTTGTCAAGTATAGAAATACATTGGTGCTAAGCAACATAACCTATTTGACCAACATGAACTATGTGAAATATATCATGACGCTCTTTGTCACATATGGTCCATATGAAGAAATTAAACACTGGTGTTTAACAGCATAACCTATATGATCTACTTGAAATGTACCATAATGTACTTCTTTGTCAAGTATAGAAATACATTGGTGCTAAGCAACATAACCTATTTGACCAACATGAGCTATGTGAAATATATCATGATGCTCTTTGTCACATATGGTCCATATGAAGAAATTAAACATTGGTGTTTAATAACATAACCTATATGACCTACTTGAAATGCACCATAATGTACTTCTTTGTCAAATATCGTCCATACTGAGGAATACATTGGTGCTAAGCAACATAACCTATTTGACCAACATGACCTATGTGAAATATATCATGATGCTCTCTGTCACATATGGTCCATACTGAGAAACTAAACATTGGTGCTAAGCAACATAACCTATATGACCAACCTTACAACTATATCTTGAAGGTTCTTGTTACACTAGAATCTTCATTGCTCACATATTGTTTATAAAAGAAAAAATTCCTCGATCCCTACCTCAAGTCCACAAGTACAAAAGTAACCTCCACAACTTTAACCTATCATCAATCTCACACTCTCATATTTCCCTTAGAAGACAATAAAAACCTCCATCTAAGAGACCAGAAAAAATTGTTAATAATTGTGTCGAGTAACATACGTTCGCTTTTCACGCGCACGCGTGTGTCGGCACGTAAACGTTCGAATCTCCGAGCGGCGTCAGGTGGATGATTTAGCCCGGGGCGACGTTCGCTCTCGAGGACCCGATCTTGATCCCCGAAACCGGCCCCGGAGAACGTCTCGTCAGAAGTTCGAGAGGCGCAACAGAGAGGACCGAATTGAGAAAGAACCGATCGAGATGAGGACAGGTGGAGGTGCGAGGTGAGACGAAACAGCCGAAATGAACGCCCGGCACTCGACCCAGTTGTAAATGGGTGAGCGACCCCGTTCCCCTGATAATATCTCGCGTCCATCATCTGCCGATGGTTTCCGATGCGCACAATCTGCGATCTATGATCGTACGCAAAACGTTTCGCGCTTCTGGAAAGTGTCCTAACGTTTGATTAGGCAGATGGCTGCCAGATGGCTAATTGACTTTTTAATAAATTAGATATGCGGACACCGACAGCTTTGGTATTCGAACCATCCTCTTTTTGATTTTAGAGAATTTTATGTGGATGCTTGACTCGTCGTGTGATTAATAATAACCTTATTGTTCTTTCTCAATTTCGTGTTATTTGGTGAAAGTACAGGCAGTTTCAAATTTGTCCGAATATGCGTGGGAACCGACAAGTACAGAGGCTGCTAGCCTAACTGTTATTATAAACTTTGAGTATGAGAAGATTACTACACATGATATACCACAATATTTCCCAGATATAAAGTTCAGTCTAATTCCACCTCAGTCAGCAATGTCCACAAGTAGCTATTTGAAATCGTAAATAAAGCGCCTAGTTCCAAGTGTGTCGTAAGGAATTCCATGGCATTAAAGTCAGATAACTGTAAGCAGCGGACAAAGATGGGCAGCAATAAACAGTTGTGCGACTTTAGATAGTTGGCTGCAATACGATTCTAATATTAAAGTATTTCCTATTATGTTAATCAGACACTGTAAATCTCTAAACCTAACCTAAACATAAAGAATTCCTCGAAGAATTTAACGACGTTAAATCGGTGAATAACTGTAAGGACCGGTCTAGCAGAGCTTGAACAGCAAATCCTACGACTTCTAATTGGGTTAACCCTTCGTGACCTTGTAACTCCGTCGACCGCGAAGACCTGTCAGATTCGCGAAAGGGATCCACCTTGCATTCGAAACACTTTCATGGTAATAATAGACGAAGTGACACGTGAAGTCATGCGAGAAATCACAAGGGAGCTGTACCCACGACCTCCGAGTAGATTTCCCTCGATCGAAGAGGGGTCTACCTCTACCATCGAACCTTAACGGACCGAAGTAGGTCTGCTGCCGCACGAGGAAACGAGGACCAGGTGAACGCGATGGCCAGGAAGAAAATGCAAGTGCGTTTTCTAGCCTTGGATTCAAATTTGTCTTCTGAGACAGGTTTAGGCTTAGATATATTCATAGATAGGTATCAGAGAATTTACACATTTGGATTGTAGCAGGTAGTAAGTTTCAAGATTAGTCTGAAGTTACAGGTCTGGAAATCACATGTGGGTTCAAAGTTATAGGTCTGAAGGTCACATGTGGGTTTGCAGATTAGTTACAGGTCTGAAGATCAAATGTGGGCTTGAAGATTGGTTGCAATGCTGATGATCAAATGTGTGTTTGAAGATCAGTTGTAGGTCTGAAGATCATATGTGGGTTTGAACATTAGTTAGGCATCAGAAGCTTCATCATCAATTTTGGGGTTCGAGGTCAAATGCAAGTTCTAGGTAGCAACTTATAGTTATGATGCTCTGTTAGTTCAAATGTCGATACATCATATGTTACCTATGTTTATAAGTAAATAAAGAAGAGAACAGTTAGCAACCCTACGAAACATATGGAGATTCACATATTGTCCACATGTGAATACGATAGCAAATTAAGCTTATTCTCCAAAATCCTAGACAACTAGTAGACCCATAACAATAACCTACAGAACAAGTACCAATGTTTAACCATCAAACAAAAATTTCTAATGTACGATGAATCTAAGTGTCACTCGCACTTATGACTAGCGAGATTGCACGCCTGAAGGCACAGTCGGCAAACAAATTTCTCCAGTGTCTATAGACAAAAACGAGGGTTAAAGCTACGCATTAAAACACAAGTTACAAGATTAGTCAACCCCTTTATCAATTTATTTTTTGCTAAAGGAGATTCGAGAAAGGAGGGAGCAAGGCCCGTAGAGAGGCCCCGAGGATTCGATCGAAGAGAGGGGTGGAGAGAGAGGAGTCGAAGAGGGGATGAGAGCTCGAGCGAACTCTCGGTGGCCCACGAGGTCTCCCCTCGTGCGATACTTCGGTATAAAAGCAAAGCAACCTCTTTTGGATGTAACACACGAGGCTCGATCGACGCTCATCCTGGCGTCCACGTTCACCTGACAGCTACGAGTGTGCACAGGATATACTTCCTATAAACACCGGTTCGACATCGGTGAATCGATTCGGCACCATGAACAAGTACTTTGTGAACGTTCTGTGGCTACTTCCGGTGCTGGTCGTGGCGCTGCCGGCCAACGACAAGCCCGGGAACGAGAACGACCTGATGGCGACCATCTACAGCGACTGTCTGAAGAAAGAATCCATCAATTGCATCAAGTACAAAGTATTTTCCTACGTGGACAAAATGTTGGCCGATAAGGAGGATATCACGTTGACCGATGGTATCACCGTGGTGAAGACGTCGAACACAGAGGAAGGAGCTCCTAGGTCGGTTTCTTTTTACGAGAAATACGAAATTGTGCGACGCGTATTTATTTGTACGCGATTTTGCAGATCCATCGAGTCCAGCGACTTGGATACGCTGTTGTTCGATAGACTGGGAAGGTTCCTCAGGACGCACACGGTCAAGGTTGACCTCAAGGGGACCGACATACTCGGCGCCATTGAATCGGCCGGACGCAGCTTCGAGGACTTCACTGATAATGCTGTCGAGAGTCGTGGCAAGAAGAGTGAGTATTAATTATTGCAAGTTTATTAGATACAGTAGGCAGGCTATTTAGATCACTTTAATGTAAATTTTACATTATATTTTTATATTTTATATTTTTATATGGGGAGTTACATTACTGTCGACATATCTTGTCTTTCAAGTTAAATTGTATTCGATGCTTTACTTGAGAGGATATTTATTGTTTATCGGAAAATGATAATATGTTGATATAAAAAGTTTAAGTGATAGTATGTTGATTTTGGTAGAAATGAAAATATTTTTTTAATTATCTTATTGTATTGAAATTTGTGGTGACTGTTATTTACGACATCAAGGAATTGTCTTATTAATTATTAATTATTTTATTGATTATCTTATTGAATTATGAAGCTGAATTGTCATATGAGGTTATCAAATTTATTTGTCGTAGTCATCGTACGCAATTATAAAATTTAATCATCACACAAAATGGCTGATCTCATACGATTTATATTCTTGATATGATGATACGATTTACATTCTTCCTCATTCGAATTTTACAACATTAAGTTCATAATTGTATGAAACTAATAAGGGTGTCATAATAAGAGGTCAACTAATAAGAGGTCATTAAGGGTGTCATAATAAGAGGTCAACTAATAAGAGGTCATTAAGGGTGTCATAATAAGAGGTCAACTAATAAGAGGTCATTAAGGGTGTCATAATAAGAGGTCAACTAATAAGAGGTCATTAAGGGTGTCATAATAAGAGGTCAACTAATAAGAGGTCATTAAGGGTGTCATAATAAGAGGTCAACTAATAAGAGGTCATTAAGGGTGTCATAATAAGAGGTCAACTAATAAGAGGTCATTAAGGGTGTCATAATAAGAGGTCAACTAATAAGAGGTCATTAAGGGTGTCATAATAAGAGGTCAACTAATAAGAGGTCATTAAGGGTGTCATAATAAGAGGTCAACTAATAAGAGGTCATTAAGGGTGTCATAATAAGAGGTCAACTAATAAGAGGTCATTAAGGGTGTCATAATAAGAGGTCAACTAATAAGAGGTCATTAAGGGTGTCATAATAAGAGGTCAACTAATAAGAGGTCATTAAGGGTGTCATAATAAGAGGTCAACTAATAAGAGGTCATTAAGGGTGTCATAATAAGAGGTCAACTAATAAGAGGTCATTAAGGGTGTCATAATAAGAGGTCAACTAATAAGAGGTCATTAAGGGTGTCATAATAAGAGGTCAACTAATAAGAGGTCATTAAGGGTGTCATAATAAGAGGTCAACTAATAAGAGGTCATTAAGGGTGTCATAATAAGAGGTCAACTAATAAGAGGTCATTAAGGGTGTCATAATAAGAGGTCAACTAATAAGAGGTCATTAAGGGTGTCATAATAAGAGGTCAACTAATAAGAGGTCATTAAGGGTGTCATAATAAGAGGTCAACTAATAAGAGGTCATTAAGGGTGTCATAATAAGAGGTCAACTAATAAGAGGTCATTAAGGGTGTCATAATAAGAGGTCAACTAATAAGAGGTCATTAAGGGTGTCATAATAAGAGGTCAACTAATAAGAGGTCATTAAGGGTGTCATAATAAGAGGTCAACTAATAAGAGGTCATTAAGGGTGTCATAATAAGAGGTCAACTAATAAGAGGTCATTAAGGGTGTCATAATAAGAGGTCAACTAATAAGAGGTCATTAAGGGTGTCATAATAAGAGGTCAACTAATAAGAGGTCATTAAGGGTGTCATAATAAGAGGTCAACTAATAAGAGGTCATTAAGGGTGTCATAATAAGAGGTCAACTAATAAGAGGTCATGAAGGGTGTCATAATAAGAGGTCAACTAATAAGAGGTCATGAAGGGTGTCCTTAAAAACTGAAGATCACTGCATTGAAACAAAATATTAACAGTTACAATTACTCAGCAACAGTAGTATCACCAGATAGCATCAACAAATTTCACATGTTTCCGTTGACCCCCATGGCAGTGAACGCGTTAAAGCGTCACACCTAATCTTTTCATCACCTCAGATTTTAATTATTCCTCTCGATTATTCCGTTACATGCTCTCACTCTGTTCATCACAGAGCTCTGTTAGCAACAAAGCTAGTATCATTAAAAGTACGATACTTCGATGGGTCGCGCGAGCAATTACCCGATAATTAACTCGAGTTAACCTTGATTCGTTGCATGCGTTTCCCGGGGTCCCATGATCGTTCTATTCAACGACAACGATGACGACAACGCCGGGAAGCTGGTGAGACGTTGACCCACTGAGGAACTGGTTCCGCTTCCCCTTGAAACTCCTCGAGCGAGGAGAGGGTTACACGCGAGGTGAAAGAGAGACGAACTACGATCTCTCGTCGCGCGAGATTTTTGACATACTTTCTTGCTCGGGGTACTTCGCCTTGACCTTCGCCTATTCCACTTTGAGATCCTACGGCGTCATCCTGAGAAAGGTCGGGTCGCCAGTCGTGGGAATTCTCCCGTTACATTGTTTATTTCTGTACGGTGATTTTGTACCCATTGCCGAAAAGGTGGCAAGCATAAGCCACCAGCTTAAATATTCCAACTCTGCAACTCGATGGAATTTCGAACAATATTCCTTTAGGAAATGTTGCAGTTTGTCTTTTTTGAGTCTCTTTCGAAAGTATGGCGACAGGAATTCTTTTTGAAATTCTTCTTCTTCTGGGAGTGTCAAGATATGAGGTCTCTGTATGTTCACATACTGAGGTTTCATGTTGATGTCCTGTGGATAGCAGACATTTTGTTCTAATTGTGAAAACATTTGCAATACTGGTTTGCTCTTTAGTTGTAGTCAGAATTATATATTTGCAGTTCGTAAGATAAACTTTGAGTCGATTTTACAAGTCTGTAGCGATGTTATGTTTGAGGTTATGTCTGAATATGTTCTAAGACGAACATTTGTTATACATCTAAAAGATATATTCTTCAGTCTTGTGTTACAGAAAGCAATAAGTATATTCTATAAACAAATTGTATTTATAAATCTTTACAGTTCGTAAGATAAACTTTGAGTCGATTTTACAAGTCTGTTTGTAGCGACGTTATGTTTGAGGTTATGTCTGAATATGTTCTAAGCCGAACATTTAAGGTTATACATCTAAAAAATATATTCCTCAATTTTATGTTCGAGAAGGCAATAAGTATTTTCTATAAACAAATTGTATTTATAATTCTTCACGAACTGCATGAATTTTCAATTTCGAAATTTAGACTTGAAAATCTTGCATACGCTATTATTTCATACAGCACGTTTAAGTACTACGTTCTAGCACAATTTCCCAAACTAACAGCACATCATAATATGATGCATCGAGGAAGTGGAACAGCGAAATTGCAGATTAGGAAAATAACAGAGTACAAAGCAGTAAAGTAAAAACAACGGTAATGGCAGAATAGTAAAATAGCAGAGGCAGTAAAATACCAATAACCTTGCTCCACAAAACTCTACATTACAAGTCTAAAACTCTACTATTACAAGAATTAATTTATCAAAAGTCTTAAGATTGTACTTAAAAATTAGAAAGTATCATCACAATCATAATTACAGAGAAGGCGCAGAAGATCCTGGGTCCGCTGATAATGGCGCTAGCCCTGAAGGCTGCCGCCCTTCTGCCCTTGGCGTTGGGAGCCATCGCAGCCATCGCGGGCAAAGCTCTCCTTGTCGGTAAAATCGCGCTGGTGATCTCAGCTATAATCGGACTGAAGAAGCTTCTGAGTTCGAGCGGAAAGCACGTGACATACGAGGTGGTGTCGCATCCTCATCACAGCAGCAGCCACATCGTGAGCCACGACGAAGGTCACGGTGGCGGTTACGGTGGCGGTGGCGCCGACTACGGTGGCGGCGGCTACTCCGGCAGCAGTGGCCACGGCTGGGCAAGAAGTTTGCCTCAGGATGCCCACGAAATGGCCTACCGTGCTCATCAACCTCAACCACAAGCATGAAGAATCTAGAGAGAGTTTCGATGTCTCACTTTCCTCTATTCTCTTGACCACTTTTCATCTCGTTTCACTCTTCCACTTCCTTTCTTGCTCTCTATTTTATATTTATTGTTCCTATCCTCTTCGACTCTCTTAGAACCGGTACCTCCACGAGATACTCGTTCATGTATAGCGTAAATTGTTATTTATTCATTGCCTGTTCTAGTATTTATTTAATTTTATCCGATCGTGTGCTATTGTTATTGCCTGTTCTTTGTAATAAAGAGATGACGAATGGCGCGCTGCGTCTTGTCCCAAAGAAAATCCATGCGTCACGTGATGTTTAACGGAGGAAGTGGAGGAAGTGGTTAGGTGGCTCCTTTGGTCCTTGAGCTTTAGAGTTCCTTCAAGGTTCTCTGCGTTTCCATTTTTCCTTAAATTCTCCTCTTTGGGTTCCTTGCATTCCTAAGTCTTCAGGTTCAACTTGGATTCTCTTAGGTATCTTTGAGGATCTTAAATTTTTCAAGGTCTTTTATGTTTATGGACTCTTTTAAGGTCTTCTAGGTTTCCTTTCACACATCCTTCATATTGTCTTTAAGTTCCTTAAGATGGATGACCACATTGTCCACATTGTCTACATTGTCCACATTGTCCACATCCATCCAATGTGATCCTCATTGTCCATATTGTCCACAGCCATCCAATGTGATCCTTACTGTCCACATTGTCCACATTGTCGACGTTGTCCACATTGTCCACATCCATCCAATCTGATCCTCACTGTCTACATTGTTCACATCCATTCAATCTGATCCTCATTGTCCATATTGTCCACAGCCATCCAATGTGATCCTTATTGTCCACATTGTCCACATTTTCGACGTTGTCCACATTGTCCACATCCATCCAATCTGATCCTCACTGTCCACATTGTCCACAT